GTATTATGTAGAATAAGTAGGCTAGAATAAGAAGTCGAAAGTGGCGATCCCGGCGATGGGGAGGAGGGCTTTTATACCCCAGAGGACAGAGATCAAAAGTTCAGTGAGGGTAGGGCGGTTAAAGTTTGAACGAGGGACAGGGTTACTGCGTCATAGTAACGCAGTTGGTCTTTAATCTATTTTTAACAAAAACCATTAATCACTATTTGATATATTATGCTATTACGCGATAGCTGAATTTGAAATCTTTAAGTTTTACGTGGTTACTTCCATCAGCTGGTGTTTCATCGTTGCGTCCCTTTTCGCCATTGAAATAGCTAACAGCTTCTGCATTTAAGGCCTTTCTCATCTATATATTTCCAAAGAAATTTTCAATTGATCTTTACACCGCGTTGCTGATGCTTCCTGTATTTTCCTGCCATTATTTGTCCATGGTACAAACACAACTCAAAAAATTTATGTTGTTTTAACCTAGTTCTTGTGCAGGGCAAAGTAGTACAAGCAATTTATCAAAAAGGTGCGACCACTCGGTGGTCTATATTCATTTTAAGCATAAATGATGAAATGCAGAAAAGTACGAAATTTTCAAGCCATAAATTAGACGGATCTTTTTTTTTTTTGCAGAGCCAATTCAGTCCCGTTGTGCTATTCTACGTTTTCAAAAGCTTACCGATGAACAAGTTGCCAAACGATTGCTACAAGTTTGCGCGGCAGAAAAAGTTAGCTACGAAGAAAGCGGTATCGATGCTGTCGTTTTTACCGCGCAAGGTGATATGCGTCAGGTAAGTACATCATATGGAAAAGTAGCTATTACTTTTCCCTGATTTTATCGTTTTTGCGCACCTGCACTGCACCAGCGTTAGGTTTTATGAAGAATAAATATCACAGATCAAAAGGAAAGTGTTTTAACATGAATGAATTTTTGTGCGTTTTTTTGCATTTATGCAATGTAGAGAACACATATGTCGAGGGGATGTCTACGTGTGTGTGTGTGTGTGTGTGTGTGTGTATGTGTGTGTCTGTCTGTACCGTTATTCATCTCGAGATCTAAAAAAGCTGCACTGAAACTTTGGGAACTTGATCTACATGCACCGTATAGGCCCTAATCCTCAAAATGGGCGCTCTTACCCACGTAACTCCCACGTACGGACCTGCCAAAGTTTTTGGCGGGTAAGCCCCTGACTTGGAAACCCGAAAAGCTAGAAAGCTGAAATTTAAGGGGATGTTTTCTGACAGTCCTGATGGCCGATCTCAATTCTTTTAGTTAGAAGCATTTGCCGAAAAAACAGTGAAGCTGGTGTGGTTGCGTCTAAGGTGTAACAGAGCATCCCAGTAAAATCAGTGAATTGAGACCCGCTTATCGATTTTTTGGGCAGTCTTGGTGTCCCTGAAAAAAAAATGATGAAAGTCACACATATACACTATGAACTTAAGCGAATGCGTTGGGCTCATAAGGAATAAAATTAGAAAACCGACAACTAGGCGAACGGCGAAAAAGGATATCGTAGGAAAAAAACAGCAACAACTGTTCAATGAATGTATCATTTTATTGGACTCAATAACTACTCGTTTTTGAAGCTTTTATCGTGGAAAACAAATTTTCAGGCTCTCAACAATTTACAGTGTACCGTGGCCGGTTTCAGATATGTTACAGCAGATAACGTTTTCAAGGTATTTCATTTTTTGTTAGAAAAAAAAAGATGATACAGGTGGTATCACAAAGCACATCATTACTAAATTTTTATAGAAATTTAGCGAAAATTGTCGCTTAATTTTGAATTAATGTCTGGAATATGCAAAAATAATGCAGCAATTTTAAAAATTTGAAAAAAGAAATTAAAAAAAAACTTGTTTTGCCCGAGTAATTTTGTAACATTTAAAATTTTTAGGACCTTTTTTCAATAACATTTTCAATTATAAAAACAAATTTAAGTGTGCTCTTAATGCAAATTAATGCGA